TTAAATAGGTAACTCACAAGCAGGTTACAGGTATAGTAGTATAGTGTAGAACCAATCAGGTGGTCTAATCACCTGTACAGGGAATTACTTAAATTAGACAATAACTAAAGTTGTAAATGTAGTTTATTGTATACTTTTCATATAATTACAAACAGTAGGGACTATCAATATATATCCTGTATGTAATTCTAATAAAATTCCTTTAGCAATGTAAGCCACCTTAATAACAAAAAAAAAAATAAATAAATACTAGCTATAGATTTCTAATTTAAAAACTTTAAAAAAAGTGAAAAGTTAAGATTAAATAAAATTTTAATATAATAGATTATATATAGATACAATTAAACAATAAGATAGATCATATTTTTTTTATATATACAAATAAAATTTAGTAGAAAGTATTTAATTGCAGATCTATCTATAATAGATAGATTTATTATAATGCAAATCATTTATAGCAAAAAAAATACAATATTGTATTTATAATAAAAAGTGATTATTTTTATAATAAATTACATAATACATATGTGTTATACATAACTCGAATCTCAACTATGCTAGTTATATTTATAGATCTTTAATATTTTTATAATTAAAGAAACTTTATATAAAGGAAAGAAAGATTTCATAGTGATAATACCTTGTTAGTTCTGTGTTTAAGTATATTCTAATTAAATTTTTGATGTTTATTGGTATGTTTGTCACTATTAGTTTCTGTAAGTACTCGTTCTGAAGCTTCTTTTTTAAAGCTTGCATTATACCTTCTGATCTAACCTTTAATAGTTTTTACTGATAGTATTTTCTCAAACGTAAGTTCTCCATTTTTAGCCAAGTCTTCAAAATCAGCATGCATGTCTTCGGGAGAGTAACGATCTGCAGCTTTTAAATTATCAGCTAAAAAAAAACTTTGCAAGTATTGTAACACTTTTTTTGTCATATGTTTTCCTATACCCTTATTACCAAGTTTTATAATTTCTTTTAGGGCCCATCCTACGTTAAAGAGAAAATCCTGATCAATGCTATATAATTAGCAATTTAGTTTGCAGAAATTGTATCTTTATAATATAATTCATATATGTAATTATCTTTCACCTTTTACAAAATTTAGACGATTTTCAAATATATATATACGTATAAAAAAAAACATTATCAAATATGTATTACACTAAAGTATATATATATATATGTGTATATGCATGTATATGTATTATTACCTCTTGCGGTATCTGATATTTCGATCAATTCATTGCTTCTTACTAAAAAAAAAATACAAATCAATTTGTAGATAGCTAGTATAAACTACAGTTACTATCGTATAGTACCGTATATAGTTAGGGATATTAAAATGATCTGTATGATCTAATCTGTTCCAGTTCATAGATCGAGATTTGTAAGTGTTATTTTAGCAATCATTCTAATTCTGGTTAGATTGTCTTAATCTTGCAATCTAGATTAGATCAACTTAACATTCTCAGAGTCTTGTTCGAGAACTCCATTTTCAAATTTGAATAGTACTCACTAGTACTGTATGAGGAACAGGGTATTATTCAGATAGTGAATAATACCTGGGTCCTGATCAAGGAGGTTATTATATGTAGCGTTATACAGTAGATCTATATTACCTATTTCTTCATCTGTCTCATTTGTTAATAGTTCTGATTTTTTAGAAGTTGGTGTTGTCCATATAGTTTTTGGTATAGATGGCTCAGAAAATGTTGGAGATGGTCTTTTGCAAAAAGGTGCAATCTGTGCAGGTTGGAAGTTATTCTATTCACCTATATGAGGAAGAAAACAGGAACGAATGTATCCAGTGAATTGTTCTTTTACAGACCAGATCAACTCAAACTATTTGGAAATACCAGATATAGTCTTGAGTTTCTTTTTACTTGTACCAGTTTCTGATTGCTAGCTAATTATAGTTATCGAAAGTAAAGATTAGACTAAGATACTAATTTATTATTTAGGTATTTGCGATAGTTTTTAAATCTAACTATCTAGATAACTTCAAATCATATATTCTTATATTGTATTTTGCTACAAATAAGTATCATATTTTTATATTTAGTGCTTATTATATTAGTATTTGTTATTAATATACTAAAATAAGCAAATTATATTATAGCAAAAAAGTATTGGTATTGTTTAAAGCTGATCATAAAGACTCTTCATGATCTGATTACGAAGACTCTTTATGTTCAGCTTTAGTAATATAAATCAATATACAGTGTGAGAAATATTTATATTTGAGTTACTTCAAATGAAGTACTGTATATTGTATAATGGATTTTGAATAGGTAATGTATATTTCTAATAACTATAATGGCTAGATTATCATATCATTATTAATAAGAACTATAATCATTGGTGTTCATTGGTAATTTTAGATACAAACAACAAAGTAGCATGATATATATTTCTTTTGAATACTTAGATGTAGTGTACTATGATTAATTTTGACATAAAAGAATTCGTATATATTAATTGTGAAAATTTTCACTATTGTTACCGATAGAGTTTTTCTATTAGGTCAAAATTAATTGAGATTATTTTTTTCTTGTTTCTTGTTAATATTGTTAAGCAATTACCTTAATAATTCTGAATTTGGGTTTATGTTGTTTTGGTCTGCTAATACTAATGTTTCTGTTGTTAAATTACAATTTGGCTCTATATGTGCTACAGAGGTTCCGCTCAAATTTTGAAGTGCTATTTCAATATTTGCTCCTTCGGTAAGGTTATACCCAATTTTAACATATCTTTTAATTGCATGTGCAATCTATAATTAGCATTTTTATTAGTAAATTACAAAAACCAAAACATATTCAATGCATTAAATAGTACGCATTATTATTTAACCTGCTGTTTGATCTACTATCTTATTTGACTATAATTTGCGAAATAAACATGCCAGAAATATTATAATCTATTTATATCCAGATACAATACTAAAAAGGACACTATATGTTGTATTCGAATTCTTTATATAAAAAGGATATTATAATATTTTATTTCGCAAAAACATTATAGTTTGATTATTATATAATTTTATGAACAACTATGTTCACAAAACCATATGAAAAGTAAATTATATATTAAATGATGTAGGAAAATGTCAAGTTAAATAGCATTCGAAATGTGCTGTTTAAAATTTTTTTTTTTTTTTTTAAAAAAAAAAAGACTAGTAATATTAAATCTACTTGTAGTCGCGTGATAAGAGTCAACTGTGGTCTTCGCTTCTCTAAGTTCAAAAAAGATCCATCCACATATTTCTATATTATACCAACTATGCCAGTGACTAATAATTGCTATTAACTCCGAGTTATGATAGTACCCTCCATTATCTGAAATTATTTTAACCCAATGTGGTTTAGGATCCATTGTCATGAATACTGCCTCAAAACATGATGCAGTGAACTAGACATCTTGTTTGGTATTAGTGCTGCAATGATCATAGACCCGAATATCTAAATTTTCACTACTATCTTTATCTTTTTGAAATACTAAAGTTGTATGAAGTGTCCACTCCCTTTTTCTAAAGAACTAGCTTTTTGTTTCTCGTGCTGTTGCAGGTAAAATTCGTATCTTATAATCAACTATAATAACTGCCCCATAATTATCAAGTTCACGTAACATGGAATTAAATTAAGCATTTAGGTATGTTTTACAGATTTAATAGGCCAAATAGCATGTTAATCGTTCCTGATATTCTGTAAGTTTTGTATGATATGAGGTATCTAGTTTATTTGTTAAATCTATAAATATACTAAATAATTTGTCACATTCTAGGCATCATGAAAAATGCTAATTTTTACATTCACCAAAGGCAAATAACAAACAATAATTAATGCAATCTACATGACCAATTGTACCATTCTTATTCATGACCAACTCCTTTTCATAATTATGCTTTAGGTGATAGCATAATAATTCTACTTGATTAATAAGATCATCCTACAAAAATTGTATATTATATATTAATATGATTTTTTTTTTTATATATATATTTTGGTTAGGTTAATTTGTTTTTTTTTAACATAACACAAAATTATAAGAGAGTGGAAAGAAGAAATGAGATATTAAAAAATATATATATTATTATTAGATTAGATCCAATGTATAATTTTAAAAAATAACGGATCCTAATATATGTTAGGAAAAAAAATAGAGGGATTACATAATATAGTCAGATCTCTTTAAATGCATTGTGACAGGACCATATATGAAAATTTAGTCAAACTTGCATTTAGGAAGGTAAAAAATTATAAAATTATATTAGTTGGGTTTAAGCGGTGATATGTACTTAAGAAGACTTTTTATAGGGTATGCATTTAGAAGGGTTTGATTATATTATGTGTATTTGTTTCTATAATTTTAAAGCAATTAAAGCGATGGGGTTATATTAAACAAGAAATCATATTGGTTTGACCATACTAACCCGTAATGTTTTATGTAAGAAGCTTTTATTAATTATCTCAATCAACTCCTCAAAAGACTGATAACTATAGTCATTACATATTACACATAATCTGCCTAAGTCTTCTCAGTACTGAAAACGGTCATTTTGCAAATGGGCCATAAAGGATGTATGCTTCATTCCGTCTGAATAAATAGCTGAAAACTTTTTCCAAAGTATTGTTTTTTGGTCTTTTAGATAAAGTGCAGGTAATTGTATTTCTTTATCTACTTTGTAAGAACTCATAGTTATATTTTCTTTATTATTAAAAAATAATTCGAATTCCTTTTCCTTAACAATAAACATTTTTGTATGAATAATTTTTGGTTTTTCTAATGCAATACATCCAGGTCCATTAATATGAGAAAACTTCTGTACTGTATTGACCATATGGGAGGATATCTAAATTATTCAATTATTATTACATATTATACAGAACATTTGGCAATTATGTGATATTAATAATCTAGTTTATTGATTCAAATTTTAACAAAATATTAGCATAATCTGATATTTATTATAAATTTGACCTGAAAACTAGTTATTGATATCTATAAATTTATTTATTTATCTTACTTTTAATTCATCTATCAATTTTTGATATATAAAGTTTTCTGCTATAATTAACAGTATTCTAATTTTGCCTTCCATTCTTCTAGAATTTGTATCATAACTAGTACAAAAGCAGTCCCAAAATATCTTATTCAATGAAGTTTCTAAAGATATATTTACTTTATCTGATGAAGTTGGTGATAATATATTTAAAAACCCATCCTCGTATAGACTTTTAAGAGTATTATGATCTTTTTCGGGATTAGGTACATTTGTCCAGAATTCAACCTATGTTGTATTATTTTTTATTAGTAACTAATTAATTATTAAATATATATATACAAACTTCAATATAGAAAAAGCGAATTTATTACAATTCATTATAGAAGAGTCACTCTTGCTAATTTAAAATTTTGCAAAATTTTTTGAATAAATTGAATACTACTAATAATATGTAAACTTTATTTTTTAGATATTTTACGTATTGGTAAAATTCACATAATTTTTATAAGATAATGTTTATCAGCTTTGATTATTTTAATCATATTTCACTGTATTGATATTTGAATGTGGAATTCACATTTGTTTTATATTTCTAATATGTTGTTATATTGATGATAAGATTTTTATGAGCTAGTAAGTTTGTATATAAAACAAAATATCTAAAATCTCATATATTTTTTTAATAATTTTAGATAATATTTAGCGTGGTTGAATAAGTTACTCATACTGTAGTTGATTGAAATAATTTGTAACAAATTAGCTAGTGCAAAAAGAAAACCAAAATTCTAAATTTGAATCATAATTTTGTTAAAGTTAGCATTTGAAGATTTTTTAAGGCTAAATCTAACAAGACAATAAATCAAACTCAGAATTTAGGCTTTCTTTTTGTATCGTTTGAATTAATTAGTAAAAATTGGTTAAGTAATTCAAGTATATAGAAATTTTAATTGAAAAGAATCTAAGATAATGATTTATGTAATGTGTTAATGAAATTTTTAATATATAGAAAATTATTTATTCAATCGAGTTTGTGATTTACTTTTTTGCTATCAGTAGAGTATAAAGAGGATGATTCAATAGGTTTGTATTTTTAATGTACTGCTACTTTGCTACTACTAAATTTTTAACCAAATTATATATAGAACTATGATAATAATAGTTTAGTATTATTATAGTTACTACTATTCGCATTTAGAAATAGTTAAAACATTCTCGACTTTAATTGATAAGATTTGTTTGTTTTTTTTTAATCAATTTATCGAATCTCAAATAAATTTCTACTAATTAAAAATTTTTTGAGTAGGTTTGTAAAAGTGTTTTTATATTGGTAACCAAGAAATGATACTTTATTATTATGATCTATTACAGTTAAATCTCTCTAAATGTAGTTGTATATCCAGACTTTAATAGCTTACATTTAGAGAACAATGAGAAAAATCGTATTTATAGAAGTTTGGTATATATTTGAGTAGAAGTTAAAAGTTGTATTTAGAGAGGTTTGCTGTATTTATGTTGCCAATTGGGTGAATTTGACATAAAAATTTATTTAGATATGCAAAATTTTATATGTTTATATATCCAAATACCAACACTAAGTTTGTAATATTGATTTATTTGTAATTACCTATGAATTTTCCTTGTCATATAAAGTAATCTCTGTACACCCAGCTGCACGAAATACTGTACGCTATGTCCATAATTCATGATTTCAAAATTCATAATCTTGTCCATAGGTTTTTCTAATATGAGTATAAAGTTCTATTATATTACTTTTCTGCTGCTTCCAACTTTGAAATACCTGATATTATCCTTCATTTGATTTACTAACTGCTTTTTTTATATGTAATTCAAATAGATAATTTATAATTATTTTATTGTTCCAATCTGCTACTGTACAATTATTAGGTATAGATATTTGATAATGAAATTGGGTTTTATATATTTGTTCTAAATTATATAAAGTTGTGGGATGATTTATAGCAAATAAAGTTTTGCCACAAATAGATTTTAATACTCCAGTTTGTTGCCAAACAGTATTTGGTGAGGTATCTCTATATTCATTAACAACTTGACTATCTTGATAAATCGTAATTGAATATGAATTGTTATTGATATATTGTAAAAAAACTGACTGTTTTGTTTTATATTTATAAAATAATGATGCAGTATAATGATTACTAATTTTATTTGAATGTGTAATTTTACCAAGTGAACTTACAAAAATTGATATATTTTCTAGCTTAATAATAAAGAAGCGAAAAGTAACATTTTTTAATAATTTTTGTACTGTTTTATTTTGATCTAGACCCAAATATGCGAGCTCCAAAAACTTAGTTTTAGTACTGAAAATAGACTGATAAACAGAAGTTATTGCTGTAGAAGCACTTGTAACAATACCACTACTCTGCCTACTTCCTTCACAAATATATCTGAATTGTAAAAGACTATGTATAGAACATACTATATAAATAATAAAGGGATTTTTATGAAGTTGTATCATAACTTCAAGTCTTAATCGTATAGGAATAGGATAAGATAGATTTTCTTCTAAAAAAAACTACTAATCTCGTAAATATAGACCATAGTAAAGTTCTGAAACTATTATATCAGTTTTAATAAGTTCACTAGGTGTTATATGTGTACTTGACATTTTAATCTTTAAAAGAAATAAAGATTTTAACTACAATTTTTTTTATTAAGAAATATAGCGCTATAGTTTATAGTTGTAATTTATACTGATCACATGTGGATCTGCAATTAAAATCTTAATTCATAAATAAAAAGTTGTAAAGTAACTACTGAATATTAAAAAAAAGTATATATAAACTTATAACTAGTATATATAAAAATCTAAATAATATATAGTTATAAGCTATAGACTATTTTAGTAGATTTAGTATAAAAATATACAATATGTATTATATATATACTATAAGTTTTAAACTTAATTAAAATATATGAAATTATAATATAAAAATTATAACAGATAGTTAAACTTAATAATGAATTAAACTTGAATAGTATAACCTATAAAGACTTTTTTATTTTTTTTTTTTTTAAAAAAATTTCAACTCGTAGGTTGAAGTGAGATCTTGTATTTTTTTATTCCTTTTTTACTACAATAGTCTTTATTTATAAGAAAATTTTACTAACTAAACTAGCTATAATTCTGTAAATTGATGATTTATAGTAGATTACTTTTAGCTAGCTTAAGTAGTTAAATGTAGTAGTGAAATTAATTGATATAAGAGTTTAGTAAAATATGTTCTATTATTGAAATATAAACTATGAACTATACATAGATTATTGTAAGTATTAACTAATATAATTGTTGAAATTATCAAGAATACAGTACAAAAGAAAAAAGTGTTATAGATAATATTTCAAGATATACAAAAAACATGTATTATTATTATTTGTAATGATTTTGGATGTTAGTGTAATGTAATATTACATGAATAAATCTTGATAGAATCTATAAGCAGGGGACCTAAGAGAACCTAAGCCATTCTGAATAAATAAATTCATAATGAGCTAAATACTTACTCGTAATAATAATAAAAAATAAAAAATAAAATCTTCATATATTATATTAAACAAGTCATAAAATATAAAATACAGATTGGATACAAGAAACAGAAAAGAAAATCTTATAAGACAAAAGGAAAAAAGAATGAGTTCTTATAAAAGAAAAGGAAAACAAAGAAAGTGAATTCAGATATATCATTAGAAAAGAAAAGAAGCTAGTTGAAGTCAAAATCTGAGAAGAAGATAAAGAGAATATATTTCAGAAAAGCAGCTAAGCAAGAGTATATGATGACAGCTTCAAATTAAGAAGAAGTGATCAAAAACAAAGAATTCCTTTAAGAGAAGTATATAATATCTCAAGTTTCATATGGAAAAAAGATAATATACTACAGGTAATATTCAACAGAAAGTATTTAGAAAAAGTAGGAAAAGATACAAAGAAAAGCATAGTAGAAAAATTCAAAAAGTTTAAGAACCTAGAATGTATTGAAGTAGAAAGTAGTTAGAAAGTAGAATTAATTAATCAGATCATATAAAATACAAAAACAAGAAGAGAATTAAAAGATAGATTAGAAGCAAACAAAGGAAAAAAAAGAAATAGTGTTTTATACAGATAGCTTATTCAGTAGAGAGGATTTTGAGAATAAGTTAATAATAGAATATAGTATAGTACAAATAGATAGCACAAATAATATAGTTTTAGAAACAAAGGAAGAATTAAAAACTGGTTCTCATCTACTCGAGCAGAGCTGATAGCTTGCTTAGTAGTGATCCTTTTAATGCCAAATAAATGTATAGTAGAAATAAGAACAGATAGCATCTATACAATCTTTGTAATCAAGAAATATCTGAAAAAAGAAAAAGTACAAGAATAGCTAAAGTTTAAGAATAGCAATATCCTGCGTGCAATTCAAAAGCTTATAAAAGTAAAGCACTACAACTAAAATTTACAAAAATCAAGAACTATTCAGGTAATACTTATAATGACCTAGTAGATACCTTAGCAAAAGAGAAATTGCAAATAGCCTATACTACAAGATTAAACAATACTAGCAATAGCAGTATAAAGTATCTACTAGAATAAAAAGAGCTAAATCTTGAAACTCTGTTAAGAGCATTCATTAAAAAAGTAGTCCAAATAACTTCTAAAGCAGAATGGATATAGCTAAGAAAAAAGAATAATAACAAACACCAATTAAGAATCCAGAAACAAAACTAGAAAGCTTTCAAAAGAATACTAGAAAGATGTCATATATAGTTCTAAAACTCTGAAGTAAACTATCTATGTCTTTTCAAGATTAAGTATATTAAAAACCTCCTTTTAATAATTAGAGTTCTAAATAGCAGAAAACTTCAGCTATACAAAGATAGTCTATACAAAAGATATAGTGAAGAAAATGAAACAATAGACCATCTAATCATATATGAAGAAGCATACTGAATACTTGAAAAAATCGAAAAAGAAGTATAGAAATGACTACAGAAAAATAAAAGGAAGGAGGAGAACTAGAACTTAGAAAACTTACAGAAAATCCTTCAACAAGAACATGAAAATAAATCTGAAAAAAAAAAGAATAGATAAGAGGAATCTTATGCAAAGAAGATACAGAAAAAATACAAGCATTACTAGGCTCTGAAAGAATGATAACAAAATTTTAGAGCCTTTTTTAGCATACTTGAATAGAATTAGTATACAAAGAAGTTTGGAAAAAGCAATGTAAAGATACAGAAGCATAGAAGAAAAATAAAAACATCTTTAGAAAAGAAAAATTTACACAGAAGGAAAAGAGGAAAAAGCAACTAAAAAAAGAAGCTACAACAAGAAAAGCAAACAGTAAAGTAGATGAGAATACAAAAAATTATAATATTAGTCTTAAAATAGTATTAGATAGTATAGCTAGGAAAGTAAAGGAAGGAGTAGTAGCAAGTTGGTTTTTAAGTTAATCATGATAGGCTATGACATCCTTCCTTTCTATTAGCTATATGTAACTTACAAACTTTATAAGTTATATTAGCATAGGTCAAAGATTACTATAGCAAATTACATATAGGTATCCCAGATGAGTCAAGGCTTAAAAAATCAGATATTAGATAGTATATAGCTAAATAATGCTGTTTTTCATTTGGAAAACAAATCTAAATAAAGTCGTAGCATAACTGCTGAATTATAAAAAAAAAATAAAATACAGATTTGAAAATAAAAATAATAAATATTAAAAATACGAAAAAAATTAGGTTGATTTACTATTAAGATCATACAAAGTTAATTAATTGTTTCTCATAACATGTAAATTTAAAAATAACCTGTTCGCCTAGCTTTTAATTTTTTAATTATGTTTATTATTCAAAAAATATTAAAAAACATATAATTTTTTTCTTAATTTTTAAAAAAACCTACTTGGAAGTATTCATATTATTGGTCGTCTCATTAAGCATGATACACCAACTTGATACATTTGAATTAAAATATAATTACACAAAATTTTATATATTAACTTACAATTAAATAAATATATTTAA